ATGCTGTTCGAAGTGAACCCTACATTGAACCTAACGAAGACGATGTTTATGAGAAACGGATTGGTTCCTGATGCCCCATTCACGCTCAACGGAACGAACATCACCGAATGCTCCAGCTACGTGTACCTAGGTCGGGAAATCAATATGATGAACGATCTAGCTCCAGAGCTGAGCAGGAGGAAACGAGCGGCTTGGGGAGCGTACAAGAACATCGAGGGAGTAGTGAAGAAGACGAAGAACATCCGGCTCCGTGCCCACCTCTTCGATTCCGCTGTCCTTCCTGCCCTAACCTACGCCTCAGAGACTTGGACTCTGCGCAGGCAGGACGAGCATGCGGTCAGCGTTATCCAACGCGCTGTCGAGAGGACGATGCTAGGAGTAACCCTATACACGCAAGTGCAGAGGGGAATCCGGAGTGCCGAACTACGCCAACGATCGAAGATCAGGGACGCTGCCGTTTTCGCCAAGGAATCGAAGATAAGGTGGGCCGGACACGTCATGCGATTTTGCGATGACCGTTGGACCAGAGCGGTTACCGACTGGATCCCTCGGGACGTCAAACGAACACCTGGACGACCGCCGGCCCGATGGTCAGACTTCTTCACGAAAGCTCTGAACGAAAGGAATGAAGGACATCGTGTCCCTCGAGCGAGGAGGGTCCACTGGACAACTCTTGCACGCGACAGGGACGAATGGAGACGTTGCTGGCGCCCGCTCGAGCAATTCGATGATCAACGGGACGACAGGTGATACAGGTGAGGGATGTGAACCCTTGCACCTCAAGTAATCCAGTTTGGTTGGTGCTATGTGGCCAGTGCGTATTGCCCTTATATGCATGTTAGTCGACATGGATTGAGCCTGACCTTACAAATGGCCACTTCGACTTGACATCCTTCCCTTGTAAATTATCTCGGCGCCGAATTATGAAGATTTGCAATGAACATACCCACTTAAGGACACGCTCCGCCTACTGTGTGCGAGCTTCCGCTCAGTGCAGGTGTGCTGAGAACACCTTAGAATAATGCTATTCTAAGCCTGTATTTTCCTGCTGTGTTGATTCTCTTCTAAGCGAGCTATGGATTTTTTTTTATTGAGAACCGCCTATTCAGAGAACGGTCTGTCTGCCGCGGGCAAGTCTCCCTATTTGGTCTGATTAACTCAGTGCACGCCTTCACCCAATTTTGATTTTCGGGGTTTTGTAGAATCGAAAGCGAAACTTTTGTTATCGGCTCCGCCCCACTCTGCGCACGCCCCTTCTACTATAAGGCGAAACTCCGCTCAGCTGGTGTGTTTTGTACTTCTTGACCTATGCGCACTAGACAAACTGACTCGGACTCAGTCAGATGGTGCTAGTGTTAAACCGAATTTCATGACAGAGGGAGAAACAGATAGAAGGACAGACAAATTTGGCGCATTATGTATAGTAGGGACCCGTTGGCGCCGCACGCTATTGCGCGCACATCACTGTTCTGCGGCGATATGGAATTCCGGGTAAATTCTCAAATATGGACCGATACACTACGAATACCGACCTGTAAGCTAGATTCTATCCGCTTGTTCCATGCTCCATCCACCGACAGCATTTGACCGTCCCTCCTTCATCAAACATTGTCCGTTTTTCCCGGTTTTCGGACTGCCACTAAACCGATTTATTAATCTCATGACAAACCCGCCTATTTCGGTGCATCTCGCACCCAACCTTTTCTTTCTTGCCAACCTCTTCCCACATGGTCCGTCTCTGGACTGTCTCCGGGCCGATTCATATGCCTGGCGGCGATCCCGCCACTCACCATAGAAGTTCACTTCATTCCCTCCGCTGGCCTCGATTTACCTTTTCCCGATCTCTGGAAAATGCCGGAAGCGGCTCATAAGCGTTGCAGCCAACCCTGCCATTTTCGGTGCATGCCCCACCCATCAGAGGTAGTCGACTTCTTTCCTTCCGCCAACCTCTCTCCATTTTTTTCCTGGTACCCGGATACCCTTGGAGCGGAGTTGTAGCTTCGACAACAAACTCCGCCCACTTGGGTGTGTGCCCGCCCACCAATAATGGTTGACTCCCTTCTTCGCCAACCTCTATCCACTTTTTCCCGTCTCCAGGACTTCTTGGAACCGAGTTATGAATTTTCGTGGCAAACTCCGCCCACTTTGGTGCATGCCCCGCCCACCAATAGCATTTGACCTCCTTTCCTTCGCCAACCTCTATCCACTTTCCCCGCTTCTCCGGGACTTCTTGGAAACGAGTTATAAGTTTGGCAGCAAACTCCACCCATTTTCGTGAAAGCCACGCCCGCCATTAACATCTATTAACATACAGCCTTCAGGGCACGCTCCCCCCATTATAAGCGGGCCTCCGCTCAGGTCATGTTTGCCAAAAATACCTTTAGACATTGCTTCCCTAAACCATTTTTTCTACTCTGTAGGCTTTCTCCTACCGAGTTATGAATTTTTTCAATGAATCCCATTATGCATTGCATTTTTAGAGAACGCCCCGCCTACCATAGGTGGGTCTGGCTTACCAACACCTTTACCCACTTTCTCAGTCTGTTTTGTAATTGCGAAACCTTGGTCGACAATGCAGCCCATTCGGTGCACGCCACGCCCACTGTGGGCGGGGCTCCGCTTAGCTGATGTGTGTTTTGTACTTCGTGAGACCTTGCCCACCCATCCCACACTTGACCCGGTCCCTCCAGGCGGATCCCGAGGAGCTAGGGAATTTCGTGACAGATGTACAGAACGGCAGACGGAGCGCCTCTTGGTAAATAGGATAAACAATGGTGCTCAAAAGTCTTCGGTGAAACAATTTTTTTATCTGTAATATTTTGAAGTCTGACTACTCCTGGTCTTTTGCTTCGTCATACATGTCCGTTGCAGAGTCATTTTAGTACTTGACTTATTTATGGATTCTTTTAGATCATGACATACGATTATCGATCGGATGAGATTACTGGAGTGGCACCGTACAGTTGGGTTGAGCAGTCTCTCGCTGCTGTTCTTGAGCATTCACCAGAGTTGAGCAAGTATGTAATGATCGGATTAAATCATTACGGCTACGAATTCATCGGCCACAGCGCACAGCCCATTCAGTTTGACAGGTAGACTGATTAGTTTGTCGTCCATATTTTATTATCGATTCTATATTTTGCTTTGTAGGTATATTGAAAATTTGAAAAGGACGGATAGCAAGTTGGAATGGGACTCGAAAGCGAAAGAGCATGTTCTCAAGTTTGAGTAAGTACAGCCCTTTACTACTAGTATTGGTCTGGCACCATCTTAACAAATTATGGAGCCGTCAAATACATTTCACTTTAATCCTGGCCATATTTAATATTTGGATCTCTTCAAAAGTTAGGAGAATCCTGAGATATATAAAATATTTGTAATGCTTAGCAGCACGGCTTACAGGGGTTTGTAGAGCTGCTGAACTTTATTTCTGGGCCTATAGCGTTTTTACAATCATGGGATTGCTTTTACTTTTTTCTACGAATTTGTTCATAAGTTCTTTGTTGTGCCGGTTATTCTCCTGCCAGATTTGGTCGATGTTATTGTTATTGGGGTCGGTAAGGAGGTACGCATGAGGCGACACGCAGATTGTTAGCAGATGGGTCGACTTACAGTACTACTCCCGGGCCAAATTGCTCCATGCTCTTAGTGCACCTCCAATGTTAACATTTTGGCCCTACTTATTAACACCTCGCAACACAAACCTCACCAGAACATCATCATTCACTGTCAGTCAGCCCACCCCTCACAGACAAGCGAGCTGTTGTAAGGAACATGTTCCGAACAGCGGCTAGAGTTTGCACTGGAGAGGATGAGCGCAAGGAATCACTGGCGATTGCGCGTGAAATAGCTGAGCTCAATGGCTACGGGAAACCCTTCGACCTCCCACAGAGCAAGAAATGGCGGCCCGGGCAACAGACCCGGTGGTAATTTCCTCAATGGCAAAATCCCATTTATGGTACCATTTATCTCTGAGGAAGTTAGCATTTCCATAAGGAAGTGTCTGAGGAGGTCGGGTTTAGAAAACACAGTTGCCATTTTAGATGTGCCACCCAGTAATCTGAAGCATCGCCTCGTACGCAATCGGCTCTACGACCGCTCATGTACCACCCCTAATTGTGTGGTCTGTCCGACCGGTAGGGAGGGCGACTGCACAATCTCAGGGGTGGTCTACAAGATCACATGCAGCAGCTGCGGGGACGAGTACATTGGTGAGACAGCGAGGCCACTCCATGTACGTATAAAGGAACACCTAGACGGCAAAAACAACTCCCGCCTGTCAACTGCCTTGGGGGCCCATAGGGTTCAAATCCATAACGGTGAGGATTTCGGGGTCACGGCCGAGGTCATGGCGCGCGAACCTCAGACCGCAGCGCGAAAAACGCTCGAGGCATTCTGGATACAGGTCACTGGTCCAAAAATGAACCGGAGGGAAGAATGCCTTACCATTACGCGGGAGCTGAGGCCTTATATAAGGATGGCCTTCCACCAGTAACTCTAAATCAAGTTTAGTCCGGATTGCTGTGTGTCCCACTACTGGTTCCGGGTGGTCTCGAGTACCGGACTAAGTTACGGTAAGTGGCCCACCTTGGTATTGCGTGATGACCTGTTTTGTTCTCGAATTTCAGTAGGATAGCGGAGGCGTTTGGTCGGGTAGTCATAAATTGCTTCGATCCTTTCAGGCTCTGAAGAAGGCGACCCCGCCGAAACGTAAGCCAATAAAGTCTGCTTAACAACCTCGTGGAGAGCTTACAGAAGATATCAGCCACAAACCTCACCATTCAGCTAAATGAAACGGAGCGGGAATTTTAGTTATTCTTGTCCTCCTCAGTGCACTCCCGCTAAACGGAGCTTTCATTCGTTTCGTTGCTCAGGTTGCTAACGATCCCACTCTTTTGCTGAACATCGAATCCCACATTGCCGCTAGCTCCACCTTCCGCTGTCGGCTGCCAGACTGACCCTGCGAGAAGAGCTCGCCCACAGTTGCGGCAGCGTTAGAAGTGCGACTCATTGGCGCAAGCGCAACTAGGCTAGCGGTTCGTGAAACTCGTCCGAACTCGCCTCATCTCGAGGTGGAATGCGGCCAAAAGAGGAAAACCTTGTCGTAATCAGGGGTTTTTTGCTTACTATCTCTTCTCTAGACCAATCTCCACCTCTAGCTTCATTTTCGAACGCTCTTACGCAACCATTTGTCCACAGGCTAGCATTTAACACCGCTCACGTGTGCTGTGGGTACACATTGGCTCGTGCCGGACCAATCTCGATTTTGACCTTGTCTCGGAGCTGTGCTTGAAATAATGGTGAATTTCGTCATAAACTGGCAGACTAATTCGTGTTGCATTACCTAAAAGTAAAGTGAAATCGAGATGAAAACAGGGTGCTTAGGAACGCGACGTCTAGCGCTTTTTATCCGGTATTCGAACGTTCATGGATGAAATTTTGCATGCATACGATACCCTATAATGAAATATAGCGCCCGACATCTCTGTACTACCGCAACGTGGGTCTTCTGAACGACACTCAAGAGGTCAAAATATTATAACAGTGTGCTTAAACAAGTCATGAAGCTCTATTCGGAACTGCTGTCACCGGACTAATGATTCTAGAAAATCAGTCTTGCTATCTACTTTATTGAATCAGCCAATCCACCGAAGCAAAATCAATTTGATCAGAAAGCGTTAACAATCTACACATTTCAACAAGTTCTAAAATGCCCTCTGTTTTGAAAAGAAAGGAAATCTTGCCAAAGCAATTTATAACAGGGAAATTTTTTCTTCTTGTCGACTTATTAACAATTTTGTGAGTATTCTTAGCGGAAACGTCTACTTCTTCCATGCGCCTGTAGCTTTCTACAGAGGGATAGCGTCTAGGTGGTATCAGACGTCTCGATCACGCCACGTCCAGTATCATAGCTATTAACGGTGTGCTCCATGGAGTGGTTAGACATGCACTTTGACGACATCGCGCGTTTTGGCCTTTTTGGCCGCGTGGGACCAAAGTGATTGCAAGCGCGGACGCCTCACATTCCAATCCGTGGAACTTGAGCTATAAATGCGCAATGCTTAGAGTGGCGCAGTGTTTTCCATTTATGTTCGATGTGTCTTATCGGTAGTTAGCAGTAATGGAAGTTCCACCAAAATGACGTGTTAGGCCATGAAAAGGCAAATTTTACTTACTTTCCCTTTAGTGGTTCCAAAATTAATTTGGACGTGGTTGTTTCAGTAAAAACACATCTTGCCATACGAATAGGTTTGTATTCACTTCATTATTCCTTTTTATCAACATGTTACGTTAATGAAAAGAAAACGAGGAATGAACTGAACAGACATATTCGTAAGGTCTGGAAAACCTCTGCCAAACTAAAGAATATTTGGCCTTTCTGTGAGCCATGTGGTTTTTGAGTATGCTAATGTATGGCCTATAGAATGAGCACAAAAAATTTGGAAGAAGTCGGGCTTTGAAGAAAAATGGATACGAAAACGATGTGCGTCAGAATGTTCACTGCTGCCTTAAATGACTGACGCGCATGCGCCTGTTGTCAACGTGTTAATTGAAAAAAGCTTTTCAAAGCCTCACTAAATTTTCAGTTTAGTTGGGTCATCGCTTTCTATTATATTTGAAGTGTACAATAAATCAAAATACAATAAGGCGTTCGAGTGTTAAAGAATATGGCATTCAATGGATGACATGGTTTGTTTTTTTTTATTGAACTATCCGATACAAAAGAATTTCCTCCATCTACCGCAAAGCATTAACCCTGTTTTGTTTTTCAACCCTGCAATGGGAGAGCATTGTTCCTATCACAGTAGCCTAGCATCTTCCTTGACTCCGTTTGAACATAAGTCTGGAAGTGTATCAACGCTTAATGTTCAATAGTGATTTGACCAGTTCAAGATTACAGCTTTACACGCTTGTCCTTCGGATCGTTCGACCCTCCCCTCCCATCCTCCAAACAGGCCATATTCCCTAAGTCGCGCGGATTCCTAGTTTAGTGTCCACTCAAGCAACATGCATCTTCGCCGGAAGCCCCTCAGTCCCAAGTGGCGTTCTCCCTTTGTTCTTCTACTTTTCAGTTTTGAGTTTCGAAAAACGTAGTATGTGGGACAAGCTGACGCGGTTGCGCGTCACGCAAACCGCGCACGGCGAAGCAATCCTCTCATGTCCCACGCGGCGAAAAAGGCCAAAATCTGCTCTGTCGTCTGTGTTAACCCTTTGACGACCGTGTGGCCCGCCGGTGGGCCACACTTTCGCTCGGTGGCGACACGTTTTTAGGGGTTTATTTTGGCATTTTTTATGTTTCAAAACTACACAAATACATCATCGAATTCGCGGAATAATGCGCTAATTACTAATAGTGAAATTGTTGGAGAGTTAATGATTATTGATGAAAAAATTTAGAAAGAAGTGAAGTGACGCATTCATAACGGCGGTCGTCAAAGGGTTAATCTCGTTGACGCTAAGTCACTCTTTAGCGGATCGGCTGCAGGAGATGGCGGCAGTCTCGAGTATTAAGACGGAATTTCATCGTCGTCCTCATTCTGGAGCGACAGTAAATGATCAGAAATAAAATCCTGACAGTCGCAGCTGTCCCGTAATCCAGTACACTCGGAGTACTCTTAGTACAACACCGCTGCACAGTGCAGCCCAGACCATCGGGATCGGCTACCGAAGTTCCCCCAGCTGAAGATCGGTGGAGCTTTTCTCGATCCTTTCATCAGCCGTGACATCCATCCCCACATATTACTTAACCCATAACGGACGGCGTGCGCCACAAGGTGGCGCACGACTATTTCTTTTGTTTTTGGAATGTTTCTAGCAATCTTAATATACCCATATATACTCTCAGCAATGTGGAATAACATATCTTCCCAGGACCTGGACGGACAAACCTTGATAAATTTACACATAACATTTTGTCTTAATTTACATAAGTTTACTATTTGATGGGTGGCTTACCCATGGTTCGCACGTCCCGGGC